GATGCGAACTTTTCATCACTTGGTTTGTGACTCAAATAACGGGGCTTTGTCAGTTACATGGCTTGTTTTTAAGTTTCTGTAAACTTTGACTCCACTCTCTGTTTCCATCTCCTGTTACACTTCCACCTTTTCATCTGTGGTTTGTGCTGTGTTGCTGCATGTGTGACCTTCGACTATACCAGGTTTGCTCACAACTTTGTTTCTTTAGTTACTTCTGCCTCATAAATGAGATTACACGTAACATTATGGACTACATAGAGTATCTCTCATTCTTAGTCTCCTGTTCTCCCATGTAGAGATAACTTTTAAAGAAAAGTTTATTCAGCTTTTCCTGTTTAGTTTAGAACTGCACAGCAAAACTACAAGCTTATTGCTTCACAGTTAAGTGTTCACATTTCTAAGTGCTTATGCATGATGACTTAATACACCCCTATATATAAATGTAGTAATAGCAAATGTCCCCATATTAATGTAAGTCTTTTGGAAAAAATATGAGAAACTAATACATAAATGAAGCATTGTTTTTAGTCATTCTTGTTGATGTATTTTCTGCTTCTGTCCACCAAAGGTCGACAGAGCACTCCTCTCAAGAGTTAGAAAAGAGTCTTCTGTGATACAAGCCTCTTAAGTTACTTTGTGATAAATTTGAGTTTTCTTTTTTTGCCTAGAATAGGGAAAGGTTCTTCAGTTGCTCTAAAATGCTGTTGTTACTTTGCTACCCACACATTTGTTGTTATTTAGTTACTTTATCTGCTATTTTAACTCTCTGCTAATCAATAATTCTATTAATTTTCTGAAAAGGTGTTGGAAGTTGGGGAGAATGCAGAGGGACACATGAAGTGTAATCTGATAGTTTTGACAGAGAGAGTGGGCCAGAAGCCTGGGTATAAGGTTGTAGCCTATCCTGTTACAGTTACTGTTATTGTACTAATAACAGATAGGTGTGTGTTGCTTTAATGTATTTGTTAGACCTATGTAGCAATACTATCGATGCTATGCTAAAGTGTAACTGTACTAGCACAGGGAAGAAGAGCTCTTTTTTTGGACATGACATGTTTTCCTAGATTACTGCTAGAAGCAAGGTGATAGAGCTATAATTACTGCCTTTGGGATGTAAGTGCCTGCTGTGCTGAAAACTATTTCTGCGGATAAATAACTGTGCAAGCAGTAGTCCTGTGAAAGTCAATGTCTCTTCTTACGAGTAAAGTTCAATATACATACCTGGTATGTAATTTGACTGTAAAGGCAAAGCACTGGAAGAACTTCAACTATAAGACTTTATTTAGTATTGAGATTGTACTAGTTTATTTTTTAAAAATATATATGCAGCTTGTTTAAAAGTTTTTAAAGCTACATTGAATATAAAACAATCTTTGCTGTTTTTTCTATTAGCACCATGGAGATTTCACAGTATCACTTAGTGATTTGTTGGAAACTTGGAAATACTTTTTATATGACAAACTGGGATTATCATATGAAAACATGAAAGAACCTGAAAATTATGCTGATACGAAAAAAGCCTATCATGCCCTCTTAGCAAGAAGCAGTATGCTAGATCTAATAGATATATATCAGAAGTGCTATGGTCTTGGACTTGTATCTGAAGATGAAAGCATAGCTCCTGTGAGTATTTTGTTTGTTTGATCTTTTTTTGGTTTTGTTTGGTTGGTTTGACACATTTTGATTCTAGTTATGGATTTATGACACTTCTAAATATACATAGGAGCTCTGAATTATTCACAAGCTACTTTGCTCTTCTACTGGAGAAACAGATGAGTTTAAATTCTTAACTCCTTTAAAGAGATCTTAAATTCACTCAAACTATTTCTTCCTGTTGTCCTGCTGGATAGGTGGGTCTCACAGCTCTTCTATGAGTGTATCACTCTTTGCCAGAAATGGAACTGAAAAATGAACTGTAGAGATTTGATAAGGTTGGAACAAAGCTTAGTGATTAACACATGTCATGGAATTTTGATTGTATGTTGATATCCAGTAAAAATATTTTTAATGGTCATCTTAAAAATACCATGCTCTTTAAAAGCAGAAAACTTCCTTGTACTGCAAGTAGTTTCATTTTTCCAGAAACCACTTCAGCCACTCAGTCAGCAGCTCTGTTGCAGTTTCTTGCAGCTTACATGTTCTTACGACATTGCATGTGATGCCATGCCCTAAGCTAGAGAAGTTCTAGTGTGTATTCCATTCTTAGATTGTAAAAGTATGAAAAATTACTATGATTAATCTGTTTTTTTGGATAAAAATATTTGTAAATAGCGATTAAGCTGATGAAACACAACCATTCCACATGATTTTATTTGATTTTGTGTTTTTTAGAGCATGGAAAGGTCAAAAGGCAAAGGATATCTATACTAGAAAATGAATGGATTTGATTTATGATAAATATAAATATAATATCAATGATGTTGGATTTAGATGCAGGTACTTCTAGCTTTTAATGATAGAGAGGAGTTAGTTGTCTGCTTTTAGTGTCCACTCACAGTATTACAGACTTAACAAATTACTGTTTATTTAATCTTCTGAATTTGCTGTATGTCTAATTAGATGGTTGTTTTAATATGAGGGAATACCTATCAGTAACTGAAAGTTAATTGAACTGAAGTATGTAATGGACATACCATACTACAGAATATATAATAATATACCATGAATATATAACCATGAATAACTAGCTACAGCATGATTAAAACTGTTCACCTTCCAGCCCTAAGTAAGAGTGAAAAGCTTTCTCCATGTGGTCAAATATTGCCCATAGAGGATGTGGAATGTCACCTTTGGAGATATGAAAAACTGGGCTCAGTATTTCCCTGAGCAACCTGATAAAACTGATCCTGCTTCGAGCGTGGTTTGTGCTAGATGATCTCAGTAGTTCCATTTTAACCTAAGTTTATTGTATGAGTCTGACAAGTATGCTTGTAACCAGCTTGTCTACTTCCTTAAAGGTTCAGAGAATGTACACTCTTAAGACTAAAACCAGAAGTAGGTTGTAAGGGCTGTGTTGATGTCAAAATGCTAGCAAACCAGTGGAAACATAGTTTTGCCAGGTTTTAATACTACTTTTGCTTTTTAGTTATCTTCATATTTGTTTGTTCTAATCTCTATCAAAGGTACGATTGTTGGAATTTATTTCTGGAATAGTGAATGGACAAGAAAACAGTGATTCTGTTCTTTCTACTCCTTCCACACCAGTCAACAGACATGGCCATGAGAATGCAAAGGTAAAAATTATTTCTGTCTCTTTTGCAGTGTTATGTATATATTGAAAAGATGAAATATAATATAGTTTTTTCCAATTATTTGCAATTATTTGCATTAAATATTGTGTATTCAAACTCTGTATTAATTGAGAATATTGTAAGTGTGTGTATGAGGCTAAGAGCAGAAGTCTGTAGTCTGGAAGAGTTCTTTTATGGCAGGCATTTGATGTAGATTTAATGTACCTTGAAACCCCCCAGGGAATAAATTCTTCTACAAGTACACTATCACGTAAACATTGTCATGACTAAGAGTTAAATAGTTTGCCCAGTACTACAAACTGAAGTGGTAGGTGAAGTAGACTTCTTCAATTTCATTTTATTAGCTCCTACTCCCTTACATACGGAATAAATCTGAAGAGCCACTGCAGTGGTAGCTATAGCAAAGCAAACAATGTTTGTCTGTCCCAGTAGAGGACTTGAGGACTTTCTGGGAATACCAGATGCTTGGATTTTTAGCCTTTCAACCCCCAAAACAAGAATCTTGGAATACTCTGTAACATTACTTTAAATGCAGGAGCTTTAGTTATTTCCAAACATGCTTTTCTCATGATAAGTGGCAATTTCAATTCAATAATTGGGTACAGCTCAAAATATTGCTGAACAAGAAAGCATTTTCTGAACTAGGGTTCTCCCCTAGATAGCACTTCTATGACTTAGGTAATGGCTTTCTTGCTGCTCTTGCTTGTGTAGTGAAAATAGTCTTTTCAGACTATCACACATAGTTTGGTGTTTTTAGTGCTTATGATTGTCATATACATATACTTGCTATGGAAGAAATTCCATAGCAAATACAGTTTTTTTTCTCTTTATCTTTTGTTAACGGCCTTTATTTGGTCTTTTCTTTGCGACAAAACAGAATTCTTCAGTTCTGGGACTGTTGTTCTTGCAGGTCCAGAATAGTGGAGCAATATAAGCAATTACAATCTTATGTTTTGGTTATGTGGGTGGAGCTGGGTTACAGTTCATGTCCAAACTCAATCAGTGGAGTTTCTCTGATTGAAATCCCTTGGGAGCCAAGGGAAAAATTACTGAATCTGGTGCAGAGCTGTTGAGTTGTTTAAAATCTTAGCCTGTTGGAAGTTAATGACAATTCCTTATGTGGTTTAATAGTGCTAGTCTTTTGCCTTGGGATAGAGAAGGATTGTATCTGAAGAGGTTTCTAAGTAGAAATTGATAGCCAATTTTAATAGCTAGAGATTCAACCCTCAGATATTTTGTGAATATTCAAGTACAGTATAAATGATTTTAATGTGTTACTCATCCTTGCTTTTCAATAATTCCAGAATCCCCATACATATGTAATTAACAAAAAAAAAAAAAAAAAAAAAAAGGAATAAGAGACAGGATGACCAATTTGTGTGATGCTTTCTTATGCAGGTGACAATCCTGGCAAAGAAGTGTGTTTGTTCATATTTAAGCCTGTTGGTGAATTCTAAGGATGATCTGGCATTGGCTCATATTCTGAATGTTCCTGACAGAGGACTTGATAGAGAAGCCTTCACTAACCTAAAACATGCCTCACAGGAGAGGAAAATGTCCATTTTCCTGGTACGTGTCATGAAACTTGCTGTAGATCAGAAGAAATGAAAAACATCTGTAAATTTCAAATACTGCTTTGATCTCATGCATGAGTGACATTTGCAAGCCAAGTCCAATGTCACCATAAACATGGTTTCTAGGTTCAAAAGATGCAGCAGAGATTCTGTGTGAATAAACTGGTGCTTGCTTGGTCATAAAATTGTAAAGACACACAGAAGAATAGCTGTGTGCATGTGTACATTGAGCTCTAAAATATGATATTGTAAAAATGAGCATCAAAATTGTTCATCCCAAACAGTGACTGAAATCCTGAAATATTTCCTATCTTAATAATAAAAAGCATATCTTATGCTTGCGTTTATAATTTTGAAATCTTGGTAAATGCGAAATGAGATCATGGCTATGCATATCAAAATAAAAAGGCAAAGGAAGAAAAGATAGCATTAGACTAGATGCTGCTGCTTATCAAATACCTCTAAAAGCAATTGTGGTGGATTAATACTCACCAGGTACCTGCCAAAGCTGCTCAATCACTCCCCTCCTCAGTTGGACGAGGAGAGTAAAATAGAATGAAAAGCTTTTGGGTTGAGATAAGGACAGGGAGAGGTCACTCAGCAATTAGTCATTGGCAAAACAGAGTCTACTTGTGGAAAAGTTGATCAAATCAGAATTCAGTTCTTAAAACACTTTCCCCCTACCCTTCCCTTCTTCCCAGGCTTAACTTCACTCCTGACTTTTCTCCACCTCCTCCCTCCACAGTAGTGCAGGATCACAGGGAATAAGGGTTGTGGTCAGTTCATCACATGTTGTCTCTGCCACTCCCTGCCTCTTCACACTCTTTGCCTGCTCCAGCATGGAGTCCCTCCCATGGGGAAACAGTCCTCCACAGACTTGAGTTGTATCCTCCCGCAGGCTGCAGTTCTTCACAAACTGCTCCAGTGCGGGTCTCTTCAATGGGAAACAGACTGCTCCAGTGCAAGTCCCCTGCTGGATCACAAGTCCTGCCAGCAAACCTACTCCTTCATGGCTCCTCTCTCCATGGGGCCACAGGTACTAGCAGGAGCCTGCTCCAGTACAGACTTCCCACAGGGTCACAGCTTCCTTTGGGCATGCCCCTGCTCTGATATGGGGTCCTCCATGGGCTGCAGGTGGTTATCTGCTTCATCTGGACCTCCATGGAGTGCAGACGGATGGCCTGCCTCACCATGGGCTGCACCACTGCCTGCAGGGGAATCTCTGCTCCAGCACCTGGAGCACCTCTTCCCCTCCTTCGCTGACCTGGATGTCTGCAGAGCTGCTTCTCTCACATACTCTCTCTCCTCTTCTGGCTGCCATTGTACAGCTTTTTTGTCAACTTCTCTAACATGTTATCCCTTAGCTGCTACCACTGTCACTGATCAGCTCATCTTTGGCCAAGTGGCAGGTCCATCATGGAGCCAGCTGGCATTAGCTTTATCAGCCTGATTTGTAAAACTCATTAAGAACTTGCCAACAAAGTTTTAAGTAGACAAGCAGGTATTCGTTATTGTGGCACTGGGGAACATGAGGGATAGCTCCTCCTAGCGTGTCCCATCCGAGCGTAAAACAAACTGTGATTATATCATTGTTAATCATACATATTCATTACACTACATGCATATTTATGAAGTTACTTATACATGACATCTTATTTCTAGATTATTCTTCCCACATATGCACTCTGTTATGGTAGTGGTCTTTGGGACCCCTGGTGGTCGTTTCTTCATCATCTTCCTCTTCATCACCTTGCCCTTTGGCTGAACTTTAAGTTTTGAAAGTTTAATTGTCAGGCCAGCTACCACTAGTCCAGTTCTGGCTAGTCATCGTGAAACATTTACCCAAGATACTTTCTCGCTGTCATCTATTACAAGGCTACAAAGCCTAGCTAAATTTAACTCTTCACAGAAAATTTGTACTTCCTTGTCTCAAGGACACAGGGAAAGCTTCTAACAGCTTCTTACAGAAGCCACAGCTACCACAAACTTTCCATGCAAACCCAATACAGCAATGAGGTTTACTAAATATCACAGAGGAGTATTAACATTAACAAAACCAACCTACATATTGCACTGCATTTCAGTTTTAAAGCGCCGTAAGTATTTTCTGTGCATATTAAACTTGAGACATCTGAAACCTAAAGCATTTCTGTGTACAAACTGCTTTTCTTAGAGCAGTCTTGTCATAAAACCCTGCCTTTGGCCTGTATACTGTAACAGAGAAGAAATTTTGAAAGGGCAGTGCAGTTTTTTCACCTTTGACTCGGAATTTGGAGAAGGTAATGCTTTCCAGTCATTGATAAGTCTTGAAATACTCTTCAAGACATGATTGATATGGGACATTCCTGATCCCAAAGGCAGAGAGTTGGAAAAAAACCCTCAAGACAGTGGTATGTTCTTTCCTTAATGCTCTTGTATAGGAATATAAAAGCTACAGAATCAACATGCAGTGCTTACAGAGGCTTGTTGATAAATAATCTAGTCTAGTCTGTTAGTTTCATTTATACTTCCAGTTGTTATAGGCAGCACAGAGCCATCTCAAAAATAGTTGGAATGAGTAAGAATTGTTTCTCCAAATAACCACCATGGGCCCTCATACTCAAAATAATCAAATTTTGCATGCACAGTGGCCTCAGTGCAGACAAACAAAAAACAGTACGGGTATGTAATAGTCACTGAAGCAGCTGCATTCTCCAATTTTTATGGTTGAATAAATATGGAAAATTTGTGAAATCTCAGTTCCAGAATTAATTATTTTAGCTCCTAATGCTCTGTTAACACTGTAAAAGAAAAAAAGTATGTATTTGGACTGAATTTATTACCTCTTCCTCATGGTTGCCAGAGGGGAAACTTCTCTACCGTATAAAGAAGTCATCTTTTCTGGCATCTGTGTATTGTAGAAATCTTGCAAAGCCAGAATATTTTCCATTGGGAAGTCAAGATCCTATGAACTGTACTTGATCCACAGGAAATCTTTAGCACAAAGGCAAGAATACTGGCAGGTTTACTTTCTTTGCTAGAGTAATTCCAGTTGTACTCTTTCCAGTCCTGAGAGCTTTATGATTTAGCTGTATAGTCTGAAATTAAAATTTATACGTAGAATTAATATTACCACATCTGTGTCAAATGTATTGGATTGTTATCTTTGCTTTCACCTTTCTGGAGAACTGCCAGGCTTTTTATTCTGACTGTTGCCTTAAACTTTGAAGGAGTATCATCTAAAGCATACTGCTTTTGGGACATCTCTTGTTTTAGTGTCTTTATAAGCATATAAAAATATATAGAAACTTTTAGAATTGGGTACCTGTGATAACTGTTGTAATTTTTCAGAAGCTTTGATTATACATTATTTTTATTTGCACCCTCAAAAATAGATGCACTACTGTGGTCACCTTTTGCATGCTTGTGTTAAAATTGTTCTTGGGTCACAGAGAGCTTTCTGAATAGAATAGTTTATGTGGGATCATCATGAGCATTTAAACAGCAACAATTACAAAAAAATCTATACCATGTGTTAATAAAGTTTTTCCTAAGCTGCCAAGAAACCAATGTAAATATCAAATTAGCTGGGTCACTTTTGCTTTGGCTTGTGGTTGTTTTTTTTAATACTGCTGCACTCTAGGTATTGATCTTGCAAATATTTGTGGTGAGATGTACAAAGCTTGCCATTAAGAGGTATTCTATTGATTTCAGTTAAATTATTTCTTCTATCAACCAGCTGTTCTGCACCGTTTGCAAATCTGTAGCAGAGGCTTACTTCAATGCGAATACATTTTGCATATGTCTACAGTTTCATATTTCTGAATATTTCTCCTAATAGATGGCAATATCCTTTATCCGAACTGTAGAACTTGGAGGAAGAGGCTGTGCATCTTCATTATTTGATCCTTTAAGAGCTCATGTAAAGGGATTTTCAAACTTCGTTAATTTTATTGATAACCTGCAGGAAATTCTTGGGGAAATCTTAAATCCAAGGTAATAGAATTTTCTGTTATATTTTTGTGTTGTCTAGCACCCTTTTTTCTTGTGCATGTGTCTTGAGGAACAAAAGAAAATCTAATTGTTTACTTGTAAACATTTATTCTGAATTATTAAACAAACTATATTAGAAAATAGAAATATTTGAAAAACAAGTGGGGTAAGCTTGTATATTTTTAAGGTTATTTGTATTACGTTTTTATCAAATCAGTATATTTTTATGACTGTTTGGTTAGTTTCCTAGTTGTAGGTGAAATTGTGAAGGTATCAGTCTAGTGGCTCTGGTAAGTACATAGACTGATACATGCTTTATTTTTTGCTAGTTAATTACTTCCTTTTTGTCATTTCATTGTCTATACCCTTATATGAAGGAGTCTTTATTGTTGATGACAAATGACTACATTAGTTATTTATATTTATA